CCTGTTACATTTCGCCTGGTTAAGCCTGGAAGCTCTTTGGAGCCTGAGCAGTGTCTCACTAGCCATTCATAGAGCACCTGGCACCCGTGAGATATTACTGCAATTATTAATAAAGGAAGACAAAGCCCTGGCTGGAACAGTAGGTTCCAGAAACCCTGAAGATGGAGTGTGATGGAGATCACAATGCTGACTACAGTAATAGAGAAAGGGTTGGACTAGATGTGACCTCCCAAGGTCCTTTCAACCCTAATTTTCTATGATTTTTAAGATACTATGGAAGACGATGCAGCCCTTGTTAATAGCATGGAGATGGGAAGCAACTTTGCCTATAGTGGTTCACTGGGAGGTTTCCTGCCCCTTCCTCTGAAGCATCTGCTGTTGGCAACTCTTGGAGACAAGATGCAAGACCAGATGGCCCACATGCTGAATCCAGTCCAGCAACTCCTGCTGGCCAGCCAGGCTACAGATCTGCAGAGCTCTCTGCCTTTTCCTCTCTGACTTCTGCTGTTTGGCTGGGCTGATCTCATTGACCAAGTCCTGGGTGCTCTTGTTTCTGCAAGTTCGCCTTCCCTGTCACAGGCAGGGAGCGTGGTTTAGGGGACGTGGGACTGTGCAGGAAGACGAGGCCTGGGATGAATCTCTTTCCTGTGCTCCACTTCCCTCCATGTGGATGCTAGAGAATAAGGGCCCTTCCATGCCTTTAGAAAGTGCTTTGAGATCTGTGATCCCTTCCTCTCCTTCACTCCCAAACTGCCACCAAGTACTGTTACTCCAAGCTGCTACTAAATTTCTTCCCTCCGGACTGTAAGCGGTACTCAGTGCCCCAGGTACTATTGCACCAGGTTGCTAGTGGATGGAAGTACCACCGAGTACTCCTGCAACCCAGCAGGCCTGGAGGGGGCAAGTTATTATGCCCGATGCCCAGAAGTGGCCACAGATTTTTCCAGGGAGCTCTATGCCCTGAAACCTGGCTCATGGTCTGCAGGGTTCATATGACGTGCAGCTCCTCTCGGCTCACCCCAGGGCCACTCAGCAAGCATAAGGCCCGACCACCTTGGTGTCAATCTGTGCTGTGCCTTTGGGCGTCCCGGCTGATAACTGCTGAGGCTGGTACATATCTGGGTGTTAGAGGTGGGAAGGGATTTTTCCAGAGCTGGATTAACCTGTCTCTGCTGTGAAGCCCACAATTTTTACTCTTCAAGGACTGTCTTCAGCTGGTTGATGGCCAAAAACAACAGACTGTACTCGCAGCACTGCTCCATGGTTGGCACTGCGGGGTTTGCCAACTTGCGTGTGACCATCTTGCCCTCTAGCGGCTGTAGCCTATACGGCATAAGGCAGCGAAACAGGAGGTAGAAGAAGAGGGCAAGGATAAAAGGAGAGATGAAGAAGAGGAGCTGAAAGCAGGAAGATGAAGAAAGAACGGAGGATGGGGAAAGTTCCCATGGATGCCCCGTGCCTGTGATTGTTCCACGGGTCCCCGGCTGACTTGTAAAATGCCCATGTTCCTCTTTGCAAACAAGCTGAATGGCTGATGGGAGTGGGGCTGGTGGTACACGAATACCACCAGGACTACAACTTGGCTGCAGCAAATGGAGAACTCTTGTTTTTAACCACACGTGGGCTCTATGGATGTATCAGGGCTCTGCCCTGGCACAGCGGCGCGTCAACCTGGGTAACACTGGCATTTCACTGGAACTGCAAAAGTGCAGCGCTGGGAAAGGTTTGCAGGGACCTGGAGGACTCTGCAGTTTGGGAATTTGGCCATGGGCCTTTTCAGTACTGATGCAACAGGTCATCCCCACCCTGCAGGACCTGATCCTTCAGCCCCCACTGCTTAAGCACTCTGTGGGCTGCTGTGGAAATTCAGGGTCCTCCCTTGCTTTTGGACTTACCTTGGCAGCAAAGACCTGCTGGGCACAGCAGATGCGGTAATACCAAGCGTCTCCTGTTTCACAACATGGCTCCTTGTCCAGCAGCTTGAAATCTGCCCACTTCTTTCCTGCAAGTTGTGTTCCTACCAGCTGCTGCTCCTCCTCCTTCCCTACCAGGATCTCCTGGACCCGGGTGGTGAGGTGGGTCAAAGACGCAAGCTGGCGCCCCATCACTTTCTCGTAGACAGTTGCTTGGTTCTCCAGGTCCTTGAAGAACAAGAGGAGCTCCCTATCGGGGGTAGTGAACGTCAGGTGCTCTAGATGACTATTCCTGAGAAAAGGGTCAGGCTGGGTATTATTCGGCCTGCCCCAGAGCTGAGGTTCACCCATGCTTTGGGACTTGGACAAGTATCTTTTAGGATGACTTGGAGGCCTAGACTGGCTGGAGCTGAGAGGCTTCTCCTTGTTCAGGAGAGTGCTGGAGCAGCAATATCCCTCACTTCTGCTGGTCCCGGCACTGCTGACGTGCTGCAGAGTATGGAAGGAGGCACCTCTGCTGGGGTAGTTACGAGAGGGCACCTTCTCGGGCAGCGAGCTGGTTCTGCTAAGCTGCTTTTTTGGCAGGGGTGGAGGCAACGAGTCGGAGCTGGTCTCAGAAGGGAGCCTCCCAGGCGAGCTCCCTCGGCAGACTTTGTTTGGTACCAGGTGTGCTCGTATCTCTCCTGCAAGGGAAGGCAACAGCAGAGATAACTGTGACACTTGTGCTAGGGACCCGTTGTCCTCCAGATGTTTGACAGGTGCCCCGAGAGTTGACAGGGACCTAACTCTGCGCAGTTCCCAGCTGCATCTCCCTCCATCCCTACTCATCCCCATTGCCCCCTCCGACCCCCTCCCCACTACCTCCTTGAATGCGCGCGGGGAATCGAGAGCTGGGAATGACGTCTCAGGGGAGGCAGGGAAATGAGGAGCCGGGAACAGGGGCCTTTGCAGAGAGGGCTGCGAGGCGGTTCACCGGAGAGTGGAGACGAGCTCAGGGTGTCCACTCAACTGGGCCTAGATGCAGTGGGGATGAGCCCTGTAGAGCCTGGGCTTAACTTTCCCCATGGCTGTCCCATTGACCATGGGCACAAGCTGGACCCACACAAGGCCTAAGCCTGAAGAACTACTCCTGCTTGGTCACCACCCTCCGCTGTGCACTCCCTTGGGAGGCTTTTCATTCGGAGGGACAACTATGATTCACTCTTGAGATCCCAAAGCTCATAGCACAAGGTGCCACAACTTGTATATACAGAAATGGGGGAGAACTGCAGCTGGATGGGGAGAACTGGCTTTCAAGTGCTCAGCGCCCAATGCTCCTCAACTGTGCTGAGGTCTCTTGGTAGCAGTCATTAGTTTCCCCAGCAATAAGGCAAAGACTCAGTTAGCCAGGCCCCTTGCTCACCTAGGTTGCTGTAGATGAGATCTCCTGGACTGCAGGGCTGGGAAGAGCTGTCAGCATCTGGGTCTTGCACTGAGGAGGATGCTTTAGCAGAGCCAGGGGCACTTGGATCAGCACTGCGGCTGCTAGGAATGGACCCACCCGTTCTTCTGATGCTCGATCTGCAGGGAGGGAACTGAGAGGTGAGGGCCAGGTGCATCCTACTCCTCGGGGAAGCAAGACTTGAGAGAAGGGGACTGGGTGGAGTCAGCGTTGCCTGGGACCCCTTCAACGGGCACGCACCAGCCACGGAGGTGGGGAGTGGAAAGACTGGTTGTTTTCCCACGGTCTGTGCGGCTTCTCTTCCCCTAGGTGGCAGCATCGCCCCTCGGTCCACGCTCCGTGGCCCCAGCCACGCCGCCCGCATCCTGCTCGCCTTCTCTTGGCCGTGCTCCCTCGGTAGGGTGCTGGGCCCCTGCGCCGCGATCTGCACCACATTGCTCATGTGGCTGCAATGGTGTGTCAAGAGGGGGGCGCTTGCATGACCGAGGACATGAGCAGAGTCAAGAAGCGTGGCGTCTTGCTTTCCCTCTCTGCCCCCTCAATGGGGCAGAGTCATGGTTGGGAATTGGAGGCTGAGGCTGCACTGAGGTTGGCAATGGGGAAGGTGGGGTTGGCCCTATATCTACTCTGCTTTGGGAGTGCAGAGGGTGGCCTTTGGTGACACTGGCTGGCGGCATGGATAGGCACTGACTCCTGCCAGGTAAAAGCCACGAACTTCTGGAGACCCTCACCCATGTCATGTGAATGAAGCCAGTACACGATGGACAGCCCCTTGTCCTCATTCCTGTGCATCACGCTCATTATTAAATGGATGAAAGGAGGGTGGGATTTGGGGCGCTTAGGGACAAACAGCCCTAAATATCACAATAAAATATCTGGAGTTGGATAGGGACCCACTTGAAAGAAATGAGGAGGAGGGCGCCGCAGGCCGCTGTAAGGTGAGAAGAGGGACAACAAAGCCTTTAGGGGAGATTAAGAAGGTTGTTAAGGCGAGAAGCACGAAGGAGTCGGCACAGCCGCCAGCCAGCTCCGAGTCTCGAAGCGCTTTCAGTTCCTGGTCGTGGTCTGGGTGGCTCGTGTCCTGTTGTGTCTGCTTTTGTAACCGTGAGACTGAAAACTCTCAAGCCCTGCTTTCTTTGAAATCAGCCGGCTCCTAAATCCTGCAAACCCCCTTCAATGAGCTAGGTTAGAACCACCCGTGGGGTTACACCGGGGATACGTTTGCCCCGTGACCGCGTCTTTTTTTTAAAGCAGCCCATAACTTAAGAGGCCTTTAAATGCAGCTCCTTTGGCTCCAGGAGTGACCTGGAGCAGTTCCCTGGCAGGTCCAATAATTGACTTGCTGCCAGCTAATTGCTGCTTCCTCCTTGCAAGCAGCTCCCCTGGGGGATTGTTTAACAGGGATTCAAGGGAAAAGATGCTTTGCGAAAGCAGAAGAAGTGCAGCGAGGGCTGTTAGACCACAGGTGCTGGAGGTGCTGTGAACAGCTCCCTGGGGACCCAGCTTGGGGCTTCCCGCTCATTAAATAGGGACAGTTCTCCCAGGCCTCAGGCTTTCCACTTGTTAACCACCCCCTGGGTTCCCAGGCTTTCACTAGATCAGGTGCCTCCAAGCCCCTACACATTAACCCAGCTTGATTCATTGCCCTTTAGGAGAAAAAAA